AATGGTGGCTCACAGGACTCAACCTGAGAGAATTTGCTAAAATCTATCCCAGCAAAAACAGTGCTTCGCTGAATCTACCACCAGATCGGGTCGACGTCGCCCAAAACACGTCATTTCGGATCCTCCCGATCCACTAACGGTGCTTTTAGGTACTCCAAGCACCGGTCATTGTTTTTGTCGAACCCGTCGCTTGCGACGAAGGGCTCTACGAGTGAATTAACCCACAGACACAGCCCACTGAGTTTCTCGCCGGATCTTCTCAGTGAGTCGCGTTTCCGATCCGGTGGTAGATTCTGCGAAGCACGGCTCTTGCTAGGGTTCGTGTTAGCAACGTCGTCAGGTTTGAGCCCCGTGAGCTCAGTTAAGGTTACGCTAATATGGTCTCTAGACCATCAGCTTAGGCAGAAAAAACACCGGATCGGAACCGCGACCCACTGAACAGATCGGGCCAGAAACTCAGTGGATTTTGTCTGTGGATTAAATTGCTTGTTGAATTCTAACCGTGTTCCATACTTGGCATTCCAGCTCAAAATCACGCGCATTGGATCCGAAAGGACACGTTGTTACATCGTCTGGTTCGGAAATGTAATTTGCAGCTTCTAAGATAAAAGTATTATCGGCTCTGCTGCTATAAATAATATAATAATCTTTTTAAAACTTCTTTAGGCACATTGAGAGTAAAATTTAACTCGCGACAGATTCCTTACGGCTAGAGAGAAAAGATACAATTTAGGAAGAGCGAGAGTGAGAGAATAGATAGTGCGTCTCGCGAACCACTCGACCGTAGAGGGGGAAAGGACAAACCTTTTTTTTCCTACTTATTCTATTAACTTCGAGGGGCTATATTAGATTCACACAACGAGTAGGTGAGTTCACGGAGCTCAAACCGGAGTGATGCTAACACTGAACCTAGCAAGAGCAGTGCTTCGCAGAATTACCACCGGGTCGGAAACGCGACCCACTGAGAAGATCCGGCGAGAAACTCAGTGGGCTGTGTCTGTGGGTTAATTCACTCGCCGAGCCCTTCGTCGCAAGCGAGGACGGTGACCGGTGCTTGAAGTACCTAAAAGCACCGTTAATGGGTCGGGAGGGTCCGTATTGATGTGTTTTGGGCGGCGTCGACTGTTTACCATTCGGTCTACAGGATCGGGTATGTAATTTCCAGCGGCCACGACGAGAGGGTTCTCATGTCGTGCCGCCTTCTCAGAGTGGTATCTTGAGGCCAAGCACTTGCTATAATTCATATTCACACGACAATCACACAAATGGCGGTAGTTATTATAAGCCAAGGACTGGTAGCAGTAATCGTCTGATTTGTGAGACTAATTAACCGATATCCAATATAATTGGAACTTCCATTATCTGCCGGTGGGCGGCGGCGTGCGAGCGTTCGTGTCTCATCGCAAAATCACAGGTCACAACGGACATTGTCAGCGACTATCCGGTATCACGAATTTTCAATCCATACGAATGTTAGGAAATGATTCAATCACGTTTATATTGACATATTTCACACACACAATAAACTATTATTGTATGATTGAATAAGATTCTAAACCAGCCTTTCCCAAAGTGGGCGATAACGCCCCCTTGTGGGCGCTACAGGCCTTAAGGGGGGCGGTAAGAGACCCAGACAAAAAAAACGGGGGCGTTGGGTAGAGGCTTGAGAGGCGATTTGTAATTTCATCTAGGAGAACTCTTAGACACCGACTGAGCTCTCGTTATTTAAGTAGTAGACCTTAGAACTTATAGCTCAAGCTGGGTGGCGGCATTTACGTTTTAGATATCTATGGGCTCCGGCAACCACTTAACACCAGGTAGGCTGTGAGGTCGTCCACACATCTAAGCAATAAAAATAAAGTAAAACGCCCACCAAGGTTCTCTGTGCTGACGTGTACACGAATCAACAATGACATGCGACAGACTGACCTTACGACGCCTCGATATATGTATTTCTCATTTGCTTTGTAGACAGACACCCATAATGAGTGCTCACCGGTGGTCCTGTGCATGAGCAATGATAGGGTCACAGTCAAGTCGATGTATACAACTAACTCACAGGTGACGCGCGAGTGATTTAAAAAAAATGGTGCGCTGCAACTTGGTCCACGTGAAAGAAGTGAAACTTCTTTTGCGGTTTGTAGTATTATATTATGTAGTAGCGCTTTGTCTTTTCGCAAACGAAGGGTTCCGCGAGTGAATTAACCCACAGACACATCCCACTGAGTTTCCCGCCGGATCTTCTCTGTGGGTCGCGTTTCCGATCCGGTGGTAGATTCTGCGAAGCACTGCTCTTGCTAGGGCCAGTGTTAGGAAATTCTCTCAGGTTGAGCCCGTGAGCTCACCTAACCCTTCCGCGCGTGGCTGGAACGGCCTCTTAGATCAACAGCGAATAGATAGGAAGAAAAAAACACAACACTCCATAGTCATTGTTAGCGAATCAGCCCACTGAGTTTCGCGCCGGATCTTCTCAATTGGTCGCGATTCCGATCCGGTGGTAGATTCTACGAAGCACTACTTTTGCTAGGGTCAAAGTTAGCAAATTCTCTCAGGTTGAGCCCCTGAGCTCGCCTACTACTACTAAGCTGTAATAGCCTCTTAGGCCAACAGAGAATAGATAGGAAAGAAAAATACAACACGCCGTAGACATTATTAGCGAAAATATGCATATAGCAAGATATCCACATTACGGTCAAGACATTTTTAAATATGTACATTCATGTTTTTTTATTGCTTAGATGGGTGGACGAGCTCACAGCCCACCTGGTGCTAAATGGTTACTGGAGTCCATAGACATCTACAACGTAAATGCGCCACCCACCTTGAGATATATGTTCTAAGGTCTCAGTATAGTTACAACGGCTGCCCTAACATTCAAACCGAAACGCATTACTGCTTCACGGCAGAAATAGGCGGGGTGGTGGTACCTACCCGTGCGGACTCACAAGAGGTCCTACCACCAGTAAATGTGTCCTTCCAGGCATTTTTAAATATGTACATTGGTGTGTCCTTTTTTTCGTGATTCATAAATTAGGTTTTGTTTTTTAATTCTCCGTCGGCTTCTATTTTTGCTGCAACAGTGAGTGATATTAAAAAAATCAATTTACGTTCGAACGCCCGGCTCCCGTAAAAACCTTTGAATCATTTTAATGGACAACAAAATTGATTTTGTTTTTAAGCACAATAATAGGTAGCAGTGACAAAAACCTCAATTGAGGCTGCGTCTCATTTGTTATTTTTTCGCGTGCACCTCATCGGTCGCGCTCTAGATGAGATCGGGATGGGTGACGTCACTGACCCAGCTTTGTGGCTGTTTAGTGATGCGTAGCGATCGAATGAATGCATCAGGGTTCGACCGTGGTTGTGTGCTTAAGTAGCGTCGCGGAAAATTGGATGGGGGACACGTGCTCGCGGCTCAGTGGGTGGCGTGGGAAGGGGGCCTTTTTTTTAAAAAAAACTTTTTTTTATTGCTTATATGTGTGGACGAGCTCACAGCCCACCTGATAAGTAGTTTACGGTTACGGATGTTTTAAGTACTCCACGGTGTTTTCCGAGCGCTATGACATGTCCTTCTTCAAACGAGGCTTGTGGAGAGTATTAAGCGGTAGGCAGCGGCTTGGTTCTGCCCCTGGCATTGCTGAAGTCCATGGGCGACGGTAACCACTCTCCATCAGGTGGGCCGTATGCTCGTCTGCCTACAACGGCAAAAAAAAAAAGTTACTGGAGCCTATAGACATTACAACGTAAATGCGCCACACACCTTGAGATATAAGTTCTAAGATCTCAGTATAGTCATAACGGCTGCCGCACCCTTCAAACCGAAACGCATTTAGGCGGGGCGGTGGTACCTACCCGTGCCGACTTACAAGAGGTCCTACCACCCGTAAATAATAAAACTAAACTACGCTTTTTGACAGTATTTATTTGAAAAATACCGGTCATAATCGTCTTCTCGCATTAAAACTGTATAATCTCAAAACTTACTAATTTTAAATTTTACAAGAGAGCAACATTTATTTTTTGTTTTTTACCAGTTACATTATCTGTCTTTTAAAGTAAGATAAAATTATGTATTAATTTTGTTAATAGTAGTCAAAATAAAAGTACACTAAATAAAATAAAAACTAAAACTAAACTACAGACAGACTTTTGAGAGTATTTATGAGAAAAATACTGGTGACACCAAATGATTCCGCATATTAACTCAATATCGAATATTTTTGGAAATTGTAGATTTTTAATGCGAAAAGATGGTATGTTGAAGATCGAATTTGTGAAAGAAAATGTTCGCTTCGTCGTTACGCGATGTATATTGATTGCGTTTGGCTGTATGGACTATGTCCGCTTTGCTCGTTGATGTAGATAAAATAGTCATGCTTTTAAAAAGGCTTATTCGAAGATAGTTTTGGCGGGAAAGAGAAAATATGTCAATATGTCCGAATTGTTTTAATAATTTAGCATATAGAGGGTAGATGTAAGGAGCGCCATCTTGTATAGGGATCACCGAAATAGCGCTAGTGTAGTATTCATTTATATAAACAAAAAAAAAAAAAAACTAAACTACGCTTTTTGACAGTATTTATGAAAAAAATACTGGTCATACCAATAAATGATTCCGCATATTAAAACTCGAATTTCGAATATTTTTGGAATTTGTACACTTTTAATGCGAAAAGACGATTTGCTTTAGACGCTCAGCGGTCGGGTAACTTTTTTAATTATTACCCCAAAATATTTTTGTGTAAGTTGATATTAACTCATACCGTAGAACAAAAAATAACGAAATCGCTTCTTTTTGGCATCTTTCATATTATAGCCCCCATGATAATTCGAAATCGCAACGATTCTAAAAAAAATTCAGTTCAATATATACTTTTTACTCACAAAAGTTTCATTTTTACCCCTCCCCCAAAATTCCATTTTACTCCATTTGGGGTAATTTACCCCGGTTCCCCGAACGCTGCTTTAGACTTTCTGACGTTTTGTGCCTTTTGTTACAGGACCGTGCATGACTCCTGAAGGACTCGTGCTACCGGATTACTAACCCAGGTCTTGCTTGACAAGTAAGTTTCAATTTCGTCTCATGTGTGGCCAACTGACTTTTCAAGCTTTTTTTTTGACGTACCACGAAATGATCAGCTGTTTGAGGTTTTTTTTAAATCGAATATTATTTTATTAATATTTTATAATGATAAGAAAAGAAGTGTTCATTGGAACGGAATTTGTAGCAATCTGAAGAAAAAGGCTTCAAAAGAAAAAGGACGCTAAGTTCCACCACGATTTCGACTGAGAGCCTTATTTTAATCTAGAAGCCTAAGTTCATGGAAGTCGTCTCCGGGTCAGTAGAAAAGACCCACAGACACAGCCCACCGAGTTTCTCGCCGGATCTTCTCAGTGGGTCGCGTTTCCGATCCGGTGGTAGATTCTGCGAAGCACTGCTCTTGCTAGGGTTCGTGTTAGCATCACTCCGTTTTGAGCCCCGTGACCTCACCTACTAGTTAAGGTTACGCTGAAATAGTCTCTCAAGGCTATCAGCATAGGTAGGAAAAAAAGTGGTCCTCATCCGTGCGTGCTCAAAATGAGATTGCCTTAAGCGATGTTCCCTGTTACTTGCAAGTTTAAATTGTTAGTAACCCTTCGAAGTCAATTGTAATTTTGATTCGACTCAATCTACCACCTTCGTATATTAATTGTATGAAAGGTTGGAGTGACCACCCATTTTCCGCCCGACGCGTCGACGTCGCGCCGCCAGGGGGTCGGAGACCGTCTGAGTACTTTTTATTTGATTTTATAGCGTTGTTTTGATATGAGGGTAGAGGCATAAATTGTGGATTTATGGGCGTTTTCGATTGGGGCTTGGGGGTAGGGTTGCCAAATATACTGTTAAAAACAGTATTAGTTATACTTCTCGGAGACGGTTTTTTTTTTATTGCTTAGATCGGTGGGCGGTGGCACCTACCAGCGCGGACTCACAAGAGGTCCTACCACCAGTAAATTACAGTACTAGTATCTATACTAATATTATAAACAGAAAAAATTTGTTTGTTTGTTTGTATTGAATAGGCTCCGAAACAACTGAACCAATTTGAAAAATTCTTTCACGGCTTGGAAGCTACACTATTACCGAGTGACATAGGCCATAATCTTTTTTGAAATTAGGGATCCTTACTAAAACTCCAATACTTAATGTAACCCAAGATGTAAAAAAAATACCTAAAATATTATTTACATCGCGTGCCCTGCGAAAACTATTTATGATAGAATAAAATAATGTACTACGACTTTGTAGAACGCATTATTATTTACAAAAAGTATCCGGAGAATATATGTTTAACCATTAGAGTTATGCCACAATAAGCGTTCTTTTATTTTTAAAAATAAAGCAACATCAAATATCGTTGAAATTTTTGTTAAAGACCCGAGCGGAGCCGGAGCGGGCCGATATATTATACAATAAAAGTAACGGTCATTAGTTCTAATCGAAACCCAGCACGAAAGAGGTCGGCCGAAGAAGACATGGATGGAGTGCGTGAATGACAATATGAGAGAGAGAGAGGAGTGAGTGCTGAGACGACTGCTGGCTGATAGAAGAGAATGGAAGAGAAAGATTAGCTGTGCCGTGGTGGAAAAAAAGAAGACTACCGCACTTCACTAGTTACTGGTGGTAGGACCTCTTGTGAGTCCGCGCGGGTAGTTACCACCGCCCTGCCTATTTCAGCCGTGAAGCAGTAATGCGTTTCGGTGTGAAGGGTACGGCAGCTGTTGTAACTATACTTGAGACCTTAGAACTTGTATCTCAAGGTGGGTGGCGCATTTACGTTGTAGATGTCTATGGGCTCCGGTAACCACTTAACATCAGGTGGGCTGTGAGCCCGTCCACCCATCAAAGCAATAAAAAAAAAAACGAACAACGACTGGCAATGGTCACGTAGGTAGTGTGCGAGAGAGATGACGCTTTACCAAATATCAAAATAATCGATTGTCTCTTTCTAAAGGTCGATGTGCAATATTTACGTTGCGCTGCCGTCGTTGCGAAGATTCCGGAAGTAACGTTACGCAGGACGAATCCAATTGGGGTTCGTACCGGAAAAGCGCGATCATTTAAAGCCGGCCTGTTCACGGTCTGACATGTTCGACGAATTGCTGGCCGAAAAACACATTTGAACCTTTGGATTGTTACTTAGTTTATTTTTAACTACCGACCCGCCCTCGCTTCGCTTCGGAAACATTAAATTTTATTATTGATAGGCGAGTCCCGAGATGTTGCGCGCGGTACGACAATAACTGCGGGTGACACCGCGGGGCGAAGGTAGTCTAAAAAACGTAGCCTAAGTTACTCTTTATATCATCAGCTACCTATTAGTGAAAGTCTCATCAAAATCGGTCCAGCCGTTCCAGAGATTAGCCGGAACAAACAGACAGACAGACAGACAAAAATTGTAAAAATGTTATTTTTGTTTATGTCATCATCATCTGCATCATTTCAGCCTATCGCCGTCCACTGCTGAACATAGGCCTCTCCAATAGATTTCCAGTGCGACCGGTCCATTGCCACCTGCATCCAATTTGCCTGCATTTTGGTTTATGTACCGTATATATATTCATATTAAGCATGTAGTAAAAAGCGGTTAGTTCAATATTACAAACATACACTCCAATTTTATTTATATGTATAGATTTGATACTATGAAAACGAGCACAAATCATTAGTTTTTTGGTATTTAATACATAGATAGATAATTTATCTTTAATGTTTTATTACATTTATTGCCCATTAATAATTGTTAATTGTGGTCAACGAAACCCATTTATGTAACTATGTGATTGGCTACAAAAAACAGCCCTTTTTAACTAAAACCAATCTTGTAACTCTCTTCATAGATAATACACATAAAGGAGATTGCCCATTCTTGGTTTCGTGTTGTGCTACGATCAAATATATATTAAAAATTAAGTTTTTATTTTTAACAATTTCCTCAAAAATATTAAGTTATAACTTCGCCGGGTATAGAAGATTAAAATTATTAGTAATTTAAAAACTAACCTAGTAGTAGTTCAATTTTCCCAATGGAAAGGCAAAGATGTTATATCATACAGCCTAATCTTTGAAAAAAGATGATATTATGGAGTGAAATGAAATGAAGCTGATTAATTTGAGATATTAATCAATTGGCATGAAATGAAATAAAATGAGATGAGATGATATGGGATGAAATATAATCTCAGTAAAATGGTGGTTATTTGCTGAGACTTTTTCAGTGGACTTTTTGGAGGATTCCAAGAAGCTATGCCCAGCCAGCGACTTTGTGTCATTTTCTACTTCGTTACTAAACAGCTAATGAACTACCGTTATTACACATTTCAACCTAAAGAAATATTAAATAGACAAAATTTAACAATTCACACAGCTTCGCTTCTCGCGTTCCCGCCAAAAAAGTTTGTCAAATGTCAATCTCAAACCTCAGTGTTGACAGTCACATTATGTTTAGATTTCTAAATTGTAAATGACTAATATGTAGTTTGCCAATTGAATTGACTAATTTAATTTCATGCCAATTGATTAATGTTCCAAATTCTTTTCATTTCATTTCACTTCGTATTAAAATTTTTCACAAAAAAAAAATATTAGGCTGTATGGTATGATATTCTTGCCTTTCCAGTTGGAAAAATACAACTACTACTACTACTGACATTTGACAAGTAGGTGCTGAATTATTATTTTGATTTACCTACTGGCGTCGTTTCTCATGTTTCCGATCGAGTTATGTATCGTGTGTTTCGTTCGGTCATATTCGTTATTTTGTTAGACAGAAGTCCAGGCATATTGGGGGCAGAATTAATTTATTTATCATACATACTTATTAATTAATCGTGATGAAAACGTTGCTAATACTATTAATTCAATCTCTAGTTATTACTACAGCTATCTCGTTGGCAATTGAACTGTGGGCTAAGCTAGGTATAATGATACATCTGCATAATATGAGAAATAAATTATTTTATGTCTATTTTTGTTTTATTTTGAATTGCCGTAATAGTACCGCCTTTACTTAACGAATGAACGCAGTGGCCCTATCCACGCAATACTATGCTATGTAAATAAGTTTATACCATAAACATGTTTTCATTAATAAAATACTTTATACGTATGTTGTTAAGTACGTAGGAACTCAGCATAATCAAAAAATATCCACTGCTGTCTTGTACAAAAAATAACCTAATTCTATAAACTTCATTGGTCTTTTACTAGCAAATCCGGCGAACTAGAGATACATATTTTTTTGTAAATTAATAAACATATTAAACCCTACAAAATGAGGTAAGTTACATGAGAGCACAACTTGAAACCATATTCCATACTGCAATGGGCATTCTCCTTTGTTATAGACAGGCAACTCAAACACTCAATAAAACTGTTTACGGGCGTCGGCCACTAGATGGCTTCGATTCGATTAGTTCCTCATTGCTCTTGTAGATAGATGGCAGTAACATATTACATATCCCATATTTTATTCTTATAGAAGTATTTTGTAAATTTTCAGAAACCACAATTTAATAAAATCTAATCAATTTGTCTATAACAAATAAAGACTTGTATTTTTGTTTTTTCTGTACTGTAATCATACAATAATTAAATACCTTAACTTTAACAACATATAAGGTAACGGGCATCCGCTACAAGATGTCGAAGGATTCCACACAAAAAAAATATATTTGCCTTAAAGTATCTCAGTTTCAGGGCCCTGGCTCTCGTGTCAAAAACGCGGGAGTCTTTAAATTGCACTTACGCATTTGTCTCAATTGTCTTGGCGCGAGAGTTATGTCATCGTTTGATTAATGTCAATGTCAAATTACAATGAGAATTATGAGAGTGAATTAAGGAGGGTAGATGTAAGGAACGCCATCTTGTGTATAGGGAACAAGTTGAAAAAGTGTGCGTCTGTAAACAGCTGGTTGTTATTGGAAGATTCGTCGATATAGCGCTAGTGTAGGCAGTGGAAATTATATGAATATAGCAGTTTTATACTGAGCGAAGCGTGTTGGATTGAAAAAATTAATAATT